AAAGAGAAAATGAAAGAGAAATTGTGTTCATGCCTCCAAACTGTTTAATAGGGCTCCAAGTTTTTGTTGTATTGATCATTATTGAGAGCAGATACCTAACTCAGCAGGCATAGGATTCACAAGCCAGAGATATTGGCTTAGATAATTAGGAATATTTATCTGTGCTTCAAATCATAAAACCAAGAGAAAATTGAAATGAAATCCTTTCAGTTCTAGGGTATTTATTACTTTCAGTGCATTTGCTTACCTAAATATCTCAGCATTCAGGAAATCAAAGGCATTTGATGAAGTAATTGCTTTGAATCTCCTCACAAGCTCTACAGAATCTGACCTACCAGGCCTGGAGAATGTAGGGTGCTGAGCCTTGGGGAGCTCTGCCAGTTATTATGCTCGTTTATATGCTTGCCACAAGAGGAAAAATGCTGACAGCAATTTGGAAACTGGCAACTAAGAGAATCCTGAAGAGATTGCCTACTGAGAAATGGTCTTTGCACCAAGAAAGACATCTATCTTCTCCTGTCTATGAGTTAGTATTGAGGAAGGATCTGGTTGCTGCCCTCACAGAATTGGCTATTACAGATGGTGGCTTTGCAATGGTGGAGGGAGCCTCAAGAATCAAGACCAGTGCTTATTAATAAGTGATCAATCAATGTTTTTACATTGTGACTAATGTTTGGAGACAAACCAGGGAGAAAGTGGCCCAAAGGTAAGAAGGAACTGATTTTATTTTTTTAATATTTGACTATTTGTATAACTGGCAACTGACTCATTATCCCACCTAGCAGTTACACAGACATGAAGAAGTCATTGAGCTTAATTCTCCTTTGCTTCAAAGAATCAGGGAAAAGAGCAGAAAAGAAAGACTTGTAGGTCAGGTAAACAGGGTACATAGAAGCATGTGGTGAGGGTGAGTTGCTCTAGTGGAAGAAAGTTTCTAAAACTGCTCAATAAAGACAGTTGCATGTTAAGAAAACGGATAGTGGAGTGTGCTCGTGACCTCAGCTCTTGTACCTGGAAGTCCAACATATTAAGATCCATTCTATTTGAGGGATCCAGCACTCTGTACCACTCACTACAGAAGTCAGAGTTATTTTAATGGTCAAGGTGCAGTGTAAGTTAAATAACAGTAACAAGTTACAATAACTAAAAAGAGAACTTCATTTCATTCTAGTATAAGAACAGTTGTGACACCCTGTGAGTTATGACCCTTACTTCTGTGCAAACAGTTCAAGGCAAGTGGATTGATCTTTAAAGAGATGACCCTGAGGATGAACCACTCACTTCTCACATCTTACTGGCCCATGCCAATTCCTAGCTGGTTAGGAGGCTGAGAATTGTAGTCTCCAGTTGGGTAGACTATGCCCAATAAATATTAAAAAGAAAAGGAGAGAATAGCTTCTGAAGTATGGTTAGCAATTTTTGCTGCAAGGTTATGTTGTCTTTATATGCAGCTTGATGTGAGCACATGACCTAAACGTAGTCAAGAAGGTCAGTTCCACTGGGAGCTTTGGCTTGGATAATTAGTCATAGCTGAAAGAAGACCCCTTGCCATATTCTGTCTGGATGTGACCTGAGCAGGTGCTTCCCTGATCAAGTGTATTTAGTTCTTGCCACATTCTAAGACTGATTCCTCCTGGGTGGCTTCCCAGCAGTCCAGTAGCTCTCAGGTCAGTGCCCAGTGTATGGGTTGAGAAATAGGATTTGTTGCAAAAGTTTATGAGCAAAGGGTCAGTGATAGAAGGCATTCTTAGCCTCAAACTCTCATTATCCCTGTAAAAGGCATACAGGGCAAGGATTTTCTGGTGAACATGCTGCAGTATTTCATTCTAGCAGTTCTCCCTTCTTAGGAAGCAGGAACAACTTTCTCAGTGCAGAACTAAACACTGCTTGTCAGATAGAAGAATGGATTTGGGGTGCCCACTTTTTAGAGGAACTGTCTAGGAAAGGCAGCAGCTGTTGGGATGTGCACCTGTGGCAATTTTAGCCTCTCGAGCCATAGAAGAAAGCTCAGTTTGGTCACACCTTCTGCTGCAACCGCCACTCAGGTGTTTCATTGACAAAACCACTCCATGTCAACTCCCAAAATCTCATTGGATGGTCTTGGTTTTCAGACCACACTTCTCTATGTTTCCTATTGATTTTATGAACTGACCATTATGCTCCCAATAAATCATTTCTCTGCTTCTAGATGGAATTGATTTCTGTTGTGTACAGTCATGATAACTGACTGAAAGACCATATGTAATTCAGAGAAATATAAATTTTAAACAAACAATTGAATCATATACTTTGGGACTGGATTTGATTTCAAATAAAGTAAAATATTATTATTTCCATTTTATCTATCAGTTGTGGAGGCCCAGAGATATTCAGTGACTAATTATTGGTAATTTTTTCCACAAAAACTATGAAATGAAACTATTTTAATGCAAACTGTCATGCCCTTTTAAAACATCTGCTACACATGTTTGTCTATAGCATTAGATATTAAGCATAGAGTTATTAAACATGGAGTAGTCTATGCTTAATACAGCATGTTTATTGATCTGGGTATTACTACATATTTAAAATCCCTAACATCTTGTGTGCATACTCTGATATTGTATAACTACTGATTGGAATTAGTTATAAACAATTTAGGTCTTCCAGGACAGTCTTAGGTATCTCATGGTTTTTGGTGCTACCCTACAACCCAGAAATTGCACTACTAGAGATTTACCCCAAAGGTAAAAATGTGATCCAATGAGACAGCTGCACCCCAATGTTTATGGCAACAGTGTCCAAAATAACCAAAATATGGAGAGAGCCTAGATATCCTTTGACAGATGAATGCATAAAGAACGTGTGAGGTGTGTGTGTGTGTGTGTGTGTATACATATATATATAAATATAAATAAAATATATATGTGTGTGTATATATATACACATATATAATAGAATACTACTCAGCCATCAAAAATGAAATCTTGCCATTTACAATGATGTAGCTAGAACTAGAATATATTAAGTGAAATAAGTCAGTCAGAGAAAGGCAATTATCATATGATTTCACTCATATGTGGAATTTAAGAAATGAAGAGAGGATCATAGGGGAAGAGAGGAAAAAAATAAAACAAGACAAAACCAGAGAGGGAGACAAATCATAGGAGACTCTTAATAATAGAAAATAAACTGAGGGTTACTGGAGGGGAGGGGGTAGGGAGGATAGGGTAACTGGGTGATGGACATTAAGGAGATCATGTGATGTAATGGGCACCGGGTACTATATCAGACTGTTGAATCACTGACTTCTACCTCTGAAACTAATAATACATTATATGTTAATTAATGGAATTTAAATTTAAAAATAAAATAAAATAAATAAAATTTAATGTTTTCATAAAAATGTCAATTAAAAATGCAAAAATAAAAATTATTTTAAATAAAAAATAAAATAAAATGACTGCATGTAGTAAATGAAGAATGATTTACTACTCTCAAATACACAGAAAGCTATTTCCATAAACAATGTCAAAGAATGAATAAAAAGGGAATATTTTCTCTTAACAATACAGTAGATTTAGAAATAAACTAAAAGATATTTTTTAAAATTTATATATTTGGAAAAAGAAAAGCATCCTGAAATCAAACATTCAAGAAATGTCATAATGGTAGTTAGCAAAATATTTTTAAATAAATGACAATAAGAATAACCTTAAAGTAAAAGAAAAACAATAAAATAATACAGAAAATAATGAACTATAAAAATCAAGAAACAAAGAGGACAAATAGTTCTTTGACAGATCTAATATAATAGGGAAACCCCCAGCAAAATTAATTAAGACAGAAAAAGAAAAGCCTAGGTAAGCCATAACCAGGTGGACTAGACAGTTAGAAAGAACCACGATGGCATACTAAAATCAAAGTTTTAAATATATTTGAAACTAACTAACATAAGTAATTTTGTGTGGTTTAAGCTGATAAAACTAATAGCTACTAAATAAATTGAAACAGGACTGAAAATCCCTCTACCCTTGTGTAAAGGGGAACCCTGATTAGATTCATGATAAACTGGGTCTATAAAATGGCAAAACAGTTCACATTAAGAGACGCTACAAAAATAGAATATAAATATCTTTTGAATCAATAAATAATACTGATACAATGTCATAATGTCACTAATTTCCCTCATTACTGATGATTGCTACCTGTCTTTTATCAGTCTCACTGGAATTTCTACCTCACTGTCCATACATTTCTGCAGTGCATGTCCTTTCCCATAGGACTTCAGTGATTCAAGGAGCTCCTCCTTGTGAGCTATTCCTGTGGCTCTGTTTTGCATCATTGTGTCTGTGGGTATGACCAGTTCCCTCAGCTGGCCTGCAGACTGGCTGCCACGGTAACCCACCCACCCCCAACCCCAATGGTACCTAGACTGGTGATTTCCCCAGTGTGAGATAATATGGAAGGCCAAGAGAATTCATGGGCATCACTTTCCACTCTGCAGAAACCAGCAGTAATAAGCCCTGACCTTACAGAGTCTGTCCCTGCTGCCAGCAGCCCTGGTTGGCACTCTGACATGCTGAAGGGCGGACAGATGAAGAGCTTCACTTCCCTCTGTGGTGCCCACAGCTCAGGTTTCAACCTTCTAAATATAAGGTGTCCTCAGGGGTCCCGGAGCACACCCACATTTGCTGCAGTGTGCTCCTGGCCTACAGAACTCAGTACTTTCTGGATCACCACCACTTTTTCAGTGCATGCTTACTGAGGAATACTTAGAACACGTTTATTTTAAAAGAACAAGTTGGAGAAAACAAATAGGTGAGTGACTATATCATGGCTGTGTTAACACTTTTTTTTTCTGATAGGATTATTTCAGATCGAACAAGTTGTGGGCATTTTTTGTAGTTGGAGATATATTTATGAAAGGAAACTCTGTGCAATTAACAACCTCTCTTTCCTTGTCACTGTTTCCAGATTGTTGTTCACAGTCTCTCTGGCGCTTTTGCACAGGGAAAACAATGGCATCAGTACCTTCCATTGGTTGCTTGCTGGCCAAAAATCAGTATTATCGAAGTAAGTTGTATCATCGCTAGAGTACTATATTCCTAGAGAATGAGATTTGAGGTGATGTTTCTGAGATATTATTAACCTACATATCGTGTCTTGGTCAGAACTTCAGGGACAAGGCTTGACAATTGTTTGTGACAGTGAAGAAAATAGGAATAGAACTCATTCAGACCCCTCTGAATCAATATTGTCAAGGCTTAGCTCTTTGTTTAAACTATGTTATATTATATCATATTGATGAAACTATTACACTTATAAATAAGCGAAAATAAGCTTATGTTTCATAATTATGTTTTAATTTCATGTATCTTGCATTTAATAGGATATATTAAAAGCTGATAATTTTACATAAAGAAAATACTATGTATTTCTTAGAAAAGAAGGGATAACATGACTGCTTGAAGGATTCTTTAATTTCCATTTTCTCTTGGATAATAGGTCAGGTTCTGTTTGGCAGTTTTATCTTTATTTATCTATCCATCTGTGAATATTCATAGCTGAATAGAAAATCATAGCTTCTTAAGGAAAATTTGGAAATTTCTAGAATGAAGCAATTGTTTCAGAAACAAATGATCATTTAATGAAAATATGCCCACCTGTAGAAAATTCTAATTTCATGTTTTGTTTGTAGATAAAAGTTGGAAATGTTTATTGACTTCTTCTTTTTTCAAAATTGTTAAACTGTTTCCATTTACTTAGTGTTATTATACCCATAAAAGTTATTTTTATATTCTGATCACTTAGAAGACTTACAGGTCTAAGATACAAGTATGATAAAACAAATAAAATGTTTATTCTTTAGAAATAATTCCTTTATTTCTAAATTTGTAACTTTTGTAGAAAATTTAAATATATGCCCATGTTATATTTCTAATATTCATTCTTGATTTTGTACTAAGATTTTGAATTTGATGACACTTATATTTTAAATTCTACATCTATATCTATGGAGAGAGACAACATTGTCCAGCATGGAAATAAATATACCCTATTAATAGAAAATGTAAGAGTGTGCTAGGAGACTGTTGCTCTTCCAAGTACCTCTCTTCCAGGCTTGGTCTGGTGGTCAACATAGCCCACGGATATTAGCAAGAACTTGCCCACCAGAAAATCATGAAGAGATCCCAGAAAATTAGGAAGGGATCTCAGAGAAAGCAGAGAGACTTTGAAATAAAGTAGCAAAACAGGAAGGCAGCTAATAAGTCTATGCAGACAAGAGAAAAATGATGACTATCTGGAAAACCCGAGGTTACTACCAACTAGGTGTATCATAAGCTCTACCATCGAAAATTTTGTGGAATGAACATTCGTATGTTATGACATATCTTTAAAAATTATCTTAAAAAAACATGCAATTGCCTTTTCCAGAACTTCTTAATTGACAATTCAATCCATTTTTTGATTCATGAAAATGATCCAGGAGTAAATGATTTCAAACCATGTTACTTGATAATTGGGAGTTTATGCATAAACAATATGCCTATGTGTGTTTGGCCATTATTTATTTGTTTATTGATTCCCATTTATTTCTTACAGAGGCCAGTATTTCTTCAGTTAGCTCTTTAACTGATTCTGTTAACATCATACTTGATGACAAATCCCAACAAGGTATTTGGTTTATTTCTTATCAGCATCACCCTCATTATTTTCCTTGTTTCTGATCTTCCAAATGTGTTTGAGAAGGGGGTAATATGACTTTTATTTGATAGGGTTACTGAAAGTGGAAGAATCCAGCTGGTGGTTTAAATCCTTTTTCAATTGTGACCCTGTCCTTTCAGATGTAAGAAGAGAAGATCTGTCTGCTAGTGGGTACGTTTTAATTTTTCTCTGATAAAGGTATTTCCTTATCAGAATAAAATATAGGTAGTAATTACTATGTTAACATTAGGGATAAATCACAGTTGTTTCTTGAGGGTGGTGAAGGCTTTAATATAAAGCATACTTGGGGGATTGAGATAGAGAAGACATATGTTCCCTCATTTTTGTTAACTGTCAGTCAAATCATGAGCACTCCTTCTAATTCTGTCACTAAAGAGAAATTGAAAGTCACATGCCAATTTTTATAATTGTTTAGAGGTTATGGATTGGGAGTCAAAGGCAAAGTTCTAAATTTGTTTTTCTAGTACTTTCAGGAAACATATAACAATTATTTACTGTAATAAAAGGAAAGTTCTTTATTACAGTATTCCAATTAATAAATGTAGAAGGAATGATAGAGAATTACCTTTTGACATATTTTACAGTAGTAACTATTCTAGGCAAGGATTAACAATGGGCGCTAAAATAAATGGTGACAAATAAATATTTATAGGGAGTGTCTCTCCACAAATATTTATTAATTTCAAAGGGGAAAATAGTAATTTTCCGATGGAGAAAACTATCAGATACTACCTTAACAAAAAACAGAAAACAATTGTTTAGTCCGTGTCCTAGACAACCTAGGTTAGTCCCACTCCTGGCTTTGACTGGCCTCCTTACGGTGCTAATTACTAGATAGAATATTGAATTGGTGGGTTTGCATACAAGTGTTTCTACATGTTTTGAACCCCAACACACCGGATAACACAGTTGTTATTCTAAGGGTCTCTAAAATAGTTACTTTCTTACACACTTAACTAATGACTATTTACTAAATAGAATAAAAAGAGTAATAATGGATTTCATAGATCCTAACATAAGGGTTTTAATGAATTTTTTACATATATAAATTTGAAATATAATCAATTAAATATTGATAATTTTAAAAATCAAAAAAAAGTGAGGTTAATTGTTGAAAACATGTATTTTTCGCTCTATTAAGTATATTAATTTGAACTACCGAGGTAACTGTTTCACTCATTTTTCCACTTTATTTTGACTATAAAGACAACTTGCAGCTAAGCATTTCTTAGCTAACTGTGTATGACAATTCAATGAACACTGTTGCAATTGCTGACTATTTTATACAGCACTAGTAGTTGATTCTGACAATCAACAAGACTCTACCTGTCAAGGTGCTATATTTGTGAACCACACCTTTCAGTAGTAAGCTATTCCAGATGACTTTTCTTCGTTATAAGAAGACAGAAATCTGCTTGAGAACACATTTCTGGGATAGTATCTCTACAGCCACCCATACGGCAAAAGATTAGGCATTTTCCTCATTATACAGACTTGCTGCAAGTGGCATCAGCACAACATGGAGAACATTGGAAAAGAATGCTTTTGAAGGGGTGCCTGGGTGGCTCAGTGGGTTAAGCCTCTGCCTTCGGCTCAGGTCATGATCTCAGGGTCCTGGGATCAAGCCCTGCATTGGGCTCTCTGCTCAGCAGGGAGCCTGCTTCCCTCTCTCTCTCTGCCTGCCTCTCTGCCCACTTGTGATCTCTCTCTCTCTCTGTCAAATAAATAAATAAAATCTTTAAAAAAAAAAAAAGAATGCTTTTGAAAACATGTGCCTTTTTGAAGTAATAAGAGACTTTAAATGTAGTGACTTGTATGAAGTAGACTGTTTTTAAAATCCACATTATTTTTCAAAAAGTTTTCAAAAGTTTCTAAACATTTGTAGGTACTCTATATGTCTCATGAATGACTTATTATACCTTTAAAGGTGAAACTTTTTTTCAAAAGTGAAACATTTATGCTTAAGAATGATTTAAATGTCACTGAATTAAGAAATGTAGAGAGCAGTTGCAAAAGTTGTATTTCTAATCATGAACATTGGAAATAGAAAACATCCCCATAAATATATTACCTATTAAAATATACTCCTGTATACATATTTAATTTGTTATTGTGTAGACTTTTACAACTCGTGCGTATTGAGGAGGGCATGTGCTGTGATGAGCACTGAGTGTTATACTTAACTAACGAATCATAGAAAACTGCTTCAAGAACTAATTATGTACTATATAGTGTCTAACTGAACATAATAAAAAATAAAATTAATGATTTTAAATAATTTTTAACAATATAGAATAATCTATAAATGGTGTGATTTTAGTTGTGTTAGATATGTACATATCCATAATAATAGACTGAGAAGAAATACACCAAAATGGTAATAGTGACTATTTCTGGAAATAGAATTATAAGTGATTTTCATTTCCTTCTTTATCTTTTTTCTGTATCTTCTTAAATTTCTAATATGATGTTTTTGCATATAATTAGAAAATAATGGATGTTATTATAAAAAAAGAAGCACTGGACACATTTTGTGAACAGAAATATTCCCTACTTTCACTAGAATATTCCCTTCTTTCCTCAATATGCTCAATACGGGGTAGACAATATTAAATGAGTTTCAGCTGAAAAGTTTCTGTATACTGCTTGCAAATATTTTTCAATGAAGATGTAAGACTTTCAAAATTATGGATGGTGAATTCACTCAGGTTGATGTCACTAATCTTATGTTGCATTAAACATCCAGAAGAGCACACATGGTTGTTAGTAAGCATTTCTTCTTAGCCAGCTGTATAACCGTGAGAAAATATCAGGACTGATCATTTGCAGTGATGGACACAACTGACCAATTACTTACTACTCTTTCCAAATGCGACATATGTTTCTTCAATTTTGTGTTTTCCCATCACTTTGCTGTCAATGAAGAGACTCGTATACCTTGTTGGCCCATCATTATTTACATGCTATTGCTTTTCTGGTGGTTGCTTGCATTTATACTTTTTTTTTTTTTTTTTTGGTAGAGGCTGATTAAATTTTTGGACTATATATCTCACTTGGTTTTAGTATAAAATTAAATTACAGTTATGGATTACTAATTTTTTTTTCTAAAGTCAGAGAAAAATATGATGAAACAACATGGTAAATCGTGGGAGGTTTTGTTTTTTCCTTTAAGATTATTCACAAATTCCATTTTCTTAGCCACTTAATGTGTGAACAAACTGTTTAGGTTATTTGATGAATTTCCCCAAATAAGATATCAAGTTGATATTTATTGTGTTCACTCAGAAAGATAGCATTTATTAAATTATACCTTTTGCCTATGTATTTGTATATTTTGTATGTGTCAGAATTATTGTTTTTATAGTAATTTAGATTATTGTTACTGTTGTGGAAAGTTATTGTTTAAAGTAGTTGGATTTTACATAAGATTTTTAGTCAAACATAATGACCATAAATAGTTATTAAGCATTTTAGAGTGGTTAATACACATATATATGTGAGAATATATGATGGATGGATGGATGGATGACTAGATAGATAGATAAATAGATAGATGATAGAGAGATAGATAGATGATAGAGTTCCTGAAAAATATATATATATAAGGATTCTTTCAGAAAAGTAATGTTAAGGTGAATTTAAAAAAAAAAAAAAAATTGAAAGGATTCCTGTGTGCTATCCCAGAGTTTGTACAGAGTGAGGATGATATAAAGGGAGAAAAACTAAATCTTCCAGATAAATTCTAGTTAGTTATTTCTAATGTAGTTTTCCTACAGTTCAGACACTTTGAGGACACGTTTAAAAGGTACTTCACACATATATCTTAGCATAACTGTGTTATTTTAGTTCAAACATCCCCTGCCTGGCTTTGTTATATATTGGCTGGATAACAAATAGTGGAGGCTAAATATATTAAAGGGGTGCCGTAACTCCATATGACTTGAGATGTGCTATAATCACTCTAATTTGATATTTTGAAATATTAATTGACTTGGCTGGGATGTCTGTATTAAATGCAACTAAGTTTTGACTATTTCTGTTCAGGTTCTGTGAAATTATATGTTGAAGTTCCACTAAATTTTTGAGAGATGATTTTTTTAAAAGATTTTATTTGTCAGAGAGAGTGAGAGCAGTAGGCAGAGGGAAAAGCAGGTTCTAGCTGAGCAAGGAGCCCAAGGTGGGACTCAGTCCCAGGACCCTGGGATCACTACCTGAGCTGAAGGCAGATACTTAACCGACTGCGTCACCCAGGCATCCCAAGATATGATTTTGATAGCAGGTGCAAAGATACTGAACACATTTTTTTTTTTAACAAATAAAATCAGCAACAACCAATTCATGAATTCTTAGTACAGTTAAAGTTATGTAGCTGGATTTTCGGCCTACTTGGTGCTTTATACCTTATGCAGAAGTTAAGGTTGTAGGAAGTAAAATTCAGGAATCCCATTTGCCTATTAAAAAGCAGTAGTGGAAAGTAATTGTTTAAGTCAAATGGAGTAGCCAAACTTCTCACACATAGAAACTCAAAAAGTGTAGAGTCATAATTTATCCATCCTCCCAATGACATCCTCCAAATGAACATGCCAAAACCCAGCTCAGGATTGAATAGCTCACAATTGCTTCTTCTTTTTCAGAAAATGGCTACACATTCATCCCATCAAACAAGTTTGTTATTCATGATATCTGCCTTTAAACTTAAGCCAACACCACATGTTTGTGTTTTTTCTTTCCTTTTTTTTTTTTTTTTTTTGGATCTACCTACCTATTTGCTTTTCCATCAGCACTACCCGAACCCAGACTTTTATCATTTCTCCTGAGAAAAATGGCCATGTCATCCTAAATGGTCTACCTGCACCCCTTTTTTAGATCTCTCCAATTGAATGTCCTCTACAGGTCAATCAAAGTCATCTTAACAAAACACAGATCTGATTATACTCCCCTGTAAACACATACACACACCCCAACACACTAGCACACCCACAATATTCAATAATCCCATGATTCTCAGGTTAAAGTCACAACTCACAGAAAGCCCCACATATCCCAGCCCATGCAGATCTCCATAGTCTATTCTTGTGTCTCTCTCCCCAGGGCATCTTGGGTTCCGGCTATGTCAGTTCTCTTTTCAGTTTCTCATATGCATCAGTTTCTCTCCTGCTGTGTAGCTCAATA